TGGGTTTTTACAGCATGGTGGGACCAAATCAAATTGTTAACGGGGAGGACACATTTTTAAAGCACTCAGATACTGCCAGACGCAGACAGGGGCCTAATGGGCTTTTCAAAAGCATCACAGGGCCCTTGGCACTTCTTAATCTCCTGTTAGGTATTTAGCTGCATCTGCAGGTGCCTAAGAATGTTTAAAAACCTGGGGTTTGGTCTGGAGGAATGGGGGTAAACTGTTAGAACAAAGGTCGTATCCCAGCGCAGGGAGGGACATAGTAGAAGAGATCTACCCGAGTCTGCTGAGCTAAAGTGCAGCACAAGCAAAGCGTGTGTGCTGATACACGGGATGTGCACATGATGGGGTAGGGAAGGACTCTGCCGACCGATTAGTGTGCTTTGGTGGCTAATGAGCATTAGTGTGCAGTGCTGTTCCATACTGGAAACCATACAGGCTCTCACTGGGGACAATCCATTTGTGATGAGGACCCTATTTCGAAAGGTCTTTTCTGAACTCCCTATTCCAGCCTTCAAACAACCCTAGCTCATCAGAAACAAGCTCCAGTGAATCCAGTGTCTCATGCAAATCTGCAGCCCCAGCTCCACTGCTTTGATGATCCATACCCCTCGTCACACACCTTTCACCGTCCCAGGATCCTACACAGGCCTGCCACAACATGTGGTGAACCTCATCCAGCACACCCAATGCCCTGGTCACAACACGAGGGTGAAACCGACCACAGTGCACGCTGAGGAAGTCAGGAAAACACCGTATCACCCGTGGCAAAACACTCCTCACAAAGTGCTCGCTCTGAGCAGGGTGCCTCTTCCCGAAAGGAAACCTGCGCAACACCATCAAAATATGAGCCTGGGAGCTTTGTTCAACACTAAAAATCATGGGCTGACTAGAGATGTGGGATTTATGGCTTATTATAACAATTTATAACCCACTAACCTCTCCTTAGCGTCACCCCAATCTCTCTAGGACTGCAGGAGTGTCAACCAACCACTGCGCTTTGAACAGTCCCTTGAAATAGGTGCTAGCTACCGATGCAAACATGATTCTGGAGTGTTGTGAGCAAGACACGAGAAGTCATTCTTCCACTCTACTCTGCACTGATTAAGCCTCCGTTGGAGGATTGTGTCCAGTTCTGGGCACCACGTTTCAACAGAGATGTGGAGAAATTGGAGAAGGTCCAGAGAAGAGGAACAAAAGTTATTAAAGGCCTAGAAAACATGACCTATGAGGGAAGACTGAAAGAGTTGGGTTTGTTTAGTTTAGAAAAGAGAACACGGGGCCGGACGGACATGACAGCTGTTTTCAAGTATCTAAAAGGGCGTCACAAGGAGGAGGGAGAAAAATTGTTCTCCTTCGCCTCTGAGGACAGGACAAGAGCAATGAGCTTAAATTGCAGCAAGGGAGGTTTAGGTTGGACATTAGGGAAAACTTCCTACCTGTCAGGGTGGTTAAACACTGGGATAAATTGCCTGTGGAAGGTGTAGAATCTCTGTCACTGGAGATATTTAAGAGGAGGTTGGATAGACATCTATCAGGGATGATGTAGACAGTGCTTGGTCCTGCCGTGAGGGTAGGGGACTGGACTCGATGACCTCTTGAGGTCCCTTGCAGTTCTAGTGTTCTATGATTCTATGCCAAACAGCTTGTGGGTTGCTATGAGGCTCTGACCCCATTTCCCACACCCGAAGCTGAGCTCAGTGTGAGCTTGATAGCTTGTCTCTCTGCCCAACAGAAATTGGTGCAAGAGAAGATACTGTAATCCCCCCTCCCCCGGTCTTCCTACAGAGAATCTAACAGGTACCTGCTAGAGATATAAAATTATGTTTAATTGTTTAACTGTAAATTAAAGGGGAGGGCAGGCAGAGAGGGAAATGGGAGGAGGGGGTTACTCCAGCCTGTCTGGAGTGGCTCCCCTGCTGTCCTTCTCCGACGCAGGGAGAGGCTGCACTATCAAGCCAGGATGCCCTGTGGGCCGGGGATGTGCCACTGGCAGGAGGGGAGCTGCTCCAGCCCCACTGGTTAACCTCACCCGGTAAGACTGAGGCGTAGCGGTTAACCCATCAAACACTCACACTTCTAGTACCTGTCGTCTTCCCTCCCCCTCCTCCTCCTCCAGGGCCAGATTTACACACAAGCTGCAGTTTGGGGACTCAGCAGATGAGGAGCCTCTAAATACAAACCAATGGCTAGTTTTTAGCTGCATCCTTGCCCACCTACCGGCATAAGCACAAATACTAACCGTTATTATTTCTACTGCCACTGTCCTTTCCGCGAGGATAACACGCACGTTCTGTAATGCTGCGGGGCACGGCCTAGGGGCGCAGCCAGTCTCAAGCCCCCCAAGCCCCAGTGCTTGGCTCTCCCAGTAGCACCGAGGGAGGCTCTGGGGGGGCCTGGGGGCTCGGCCCCGCCCGG